GTCTTTTTGAGACAGGGTCTCTCTGTAGCTCCAGCTGTCCTGGAACTCACTATGTAGACCAGGCTGGGCTTGAATTCACAGAGATCCGCCTGCCTCTGCCTCCCGAGTACTGGGATTAAAGGCATGCGCCACCATGCTCGGCTCAGTGTATGTTTTAAACAAATATCTTTGTTGGAATTTTATATCCTCAGTACAGTGGTCTAAATTAGAATTGTATGAATGGCAGTGTCTGCTTCAAGGTTTGGTGGTGTCCCTCACTTCTGCATTGACTAGAATCTTTTAAAGCTGCTAACAAATGTGTTTGCTAAGACCAAGCCAATACCAAGTTAATGCACGTGACTTGGTTACCAAAAGTCTTGCCAACATGTTAACTAACAAAAGAAATTCAAATTGCCAACCAGGCCTGGTAGCACACTCTTTAACTGTGGCACTTGGAAAGCTAAGGCAGGAGGACTGCGAGTTTGAGGCCCACACGGACTGACTACACATAGTAGAACTCTTGGCTTGGGGGTGACGGGGTAGAACTAAAAGGAATTCTTTCCTGTTTGCTTTCAAGCACAAGCCCAGAATAGGAATTTTTACCACTTGGTAGAAATTTAGCATTTTCCCCAACCTTTTCTGTTCATTGAAATTTTACATTTTAATGTGGTATCACTGGTTTTGTTACCCTTTGTTTCTGGTTTTTGTTTTGTTTTTAATGATAGAACAGCTAAGACGGCATGATTGTGTGATCTAATCTAATGGATTTTTTTCAAAGTTTGTGTTTTTTATTGACACTAAAAATACTAGATACAACACAGATTTATGTAATCAATGACAGTTTCCAGAGCAAAGATATATCTCTTTCAAAAGTGGCTATAAAATTTTTAGCTGTTGAATTAATACAGTTATACAGTATTGAACTCAGTATAAGCCCTGTAAGACATAAAATTGAATGAGTTTTTAACCTTTAAAAAAGATCTCCATTTCATTTTAAAATATACTGTTTCTTACAGAAAGACTCATTGTTTTTGCTAATAACACTGAGATGTTGGCACATGCATCTCTAATCTGTATGTACCAGATTATTACTAGTCATAATCGGTTGCACTCGGATCCTTGGTACATATGTCTATAAAGTCATCGGGTAGATTTCAATGGTAATGTTTATCACCTCTACCAATTAACATGATATAACTTTTTATGCTTCCTCCTCAAATATAATTCATTTTTTTTTAATTTCTTGATTTTCTGTGTGTGTGAACTGTGCACCCACTTCCCATAAGGTACCCTCCCATAGCCTCTGTCCCCCGACTAGAACCCTTATGCTCTGTTATCCCTGCTGCTGTCCACTGTGATGTCAGGTCCCCAGCCACTCCCCACTACTTGTCCATCTGGTGAATCTAGTCAGCCTATCTAGAGGTCTTTGTTTTAGGAAGGTCAGCTGTTCCTCATCTAGCAGAAATCAGTTGTCAGTATTCCTTTAGATAAGATTGGGGTCTGCTGTTTATTTTCCCAGTTCTGTGCTGGGTTACTCTCTGGGAGTCCCTTGGGGCACCCTGGCAAACAACACACACACACAAAAAATAGTGTTTTGGGTATGATACAGTATATTTTAAAATTAAAATGGGATCTTTTTTAAAAGTTAAAAACTCTTTCAATTTTATGTCTTATAGGGTTTATACTGAGTTCAATATCGTATAACTGTATTAATCAATTTATTTTTACTCTTAAGGTCATTTGAGGATCTGTTCCTCAGGGGTCACATGGGCTTGCAAGGAGCCTCTGGCTCCTTTCTTTTACCAGTTCCACCTATGTGAAGATAAGTCAAAGGTCCTGCTTGACCATGTTTGGCTTCGCTTGGAAGCACGGAGGAATTGTTTCCTCTGTGTTGACCCTCCTTTTTGTAGACTGGACACTGGTTCAAGGCCATCTTGTGGGGTCTCCTCAGCGTCCTTGATCAAGAGGAAAGGTGACCCACCACAATTACAGGACATTTTGAGAGATGCTCATAGTTCCCTGGAACTAGTCATCGACCCAGGAGGGCAAGGAGCAAAAACTGTCCTTTATGTCCCTCTGACCAAATTATTATAGGCCTCAAAATATGTCTGCTAAACATCCAAGAAGGTTAGTTCCATCAGTCTTGTCCTTTTAATTACTGTGTGCCATGTAGATACATCTTGGGCAAAGACCAATTGTTCTCAGATAAACCTTGCCTAGACATATATTTCTTGATCTGGTATGTATAATTTGTCAGTAGGTTGTTGGACTAGTATGGTTCCCTCTGTTTTTTAAAAATAGCTAGGCATTATTTATCTCTTGCATTGTCTCACCCCTCCATCGTGGTTTCCCCAATTAAGGTGCCCCCATTTTTCCCCTTTCTCCCTCACTAATACCCTTCTCCTATGGTCCTACCTCTCTTGACCTCCTTCTTTCCCTTTATCCCCTAGGTTTCTTGTATACCCTTCCCTCCCCCCCTCCCTTAAACTAACCCAATTTTT